TTATCTTGTTATCAAACGATTGAAAATTAATGTTCGTTAATGAGTATCAGATCGATAGATCTTCATCAGAGAAAATTTCAAATAGAATTGAATCGAACAAATATCTATCTATTTTATTGGTGATTTTTTTATTATGTAAGCGTGGATGTGGGTGTGGGAGTGGGTGTGTAGGTGGGATGTGAACACAAACATCCACACCCACACCCCGTTTTTCATTCAAATCCAGAACAAATAATATTATAATGGTATATTTCTAATATATTCCAGTAGACCGTTTTAAATGCGTGATTGATGAAGGTAGCTAACGTCATCTGACATGCTGGTTAATAGAAAAAGTTCTATTCAAATGATTCTGCAAGAAGTAGCAACGCAGTTGTTCCAAAACTGAAAAGCTTTAAAAAACCACGAACACTTACTCCGAAAATATGATAGTAGAGTCAAATTTTCAATGGTAAGTCTTTGAAAATCTGTAAAGAAACTATACAACAAATTTCATATCTTGAAACGCCTAGAAATCACTCAAACTTGACATTTAAACAATGAAAATTTACAATCAAAAAGATACGAAAAAAATTTGCTGGTTCACTTTGTGATAAGGTCCTCTCAGCCGCCATTCTAAACACATCCAATTCGGTAATAATTGATGAAACAAATATGACAATGGAAAAACGCTCAATATACTTAATTTTGAAGCAATAACACGCTTACTAATTATTGATGAAACTTCGCTAGTACAAATATTATGGAAAACGTGCGGAAAGTTCGACTTTTTATGTTTAAAACGCGTTTGGAATCAGGTGAGCGTTTACATAGTTATAAAGCTAGCTTTCGAGGCGCTTAAACGTGTGAAAATCTTCGAGAGAAGAAAAACTGTGGGTGTTCACACACCCACTTTTCTTCGACCGCATGTAAACGCTCAAAAAAGTTGATTTTACGATGTTTATACGAGTTTTTAAAAAGGTTTGTCTGGTTGGGTATCATATTCTAATTAGAAGATTTCAGCGGGAAGCACAACGTACAGTTCGACCGGATCCCAAAAACGTTCAATCAATCAGGTGCGATTCTGAATCCTAAAAAATAACTATGAACGATATGCATAATTCGAATTTATTTGTTCATTGAGGTTCTTGTTTTTTTTAAATTTAGCTTTTCATTAAAAAAGCTTTTTTTCTTATGAATTCAAATGAAATAAAAACATTGAATTCTTGATGATAAACTAAATAATAATTTGTATTATTTCGATATTTGAATTAGTCGATATTTTTACTTTTGGCCAAACTAGGATTTATCCTACAGAAGACTTTAATATCAGTTTTGAAGAACTTATATCATTAACGTAAAGACAACCTCGAAAATTGTTTCTAAATTATCGACTATCGGTAATAAGTAAATAAATATATTTCTCTATCGGCCTTGATACATTTATGTTCCTATGGAAAATAAACTATGACGACAATTGTTTGGTGAAATAATTGCATGCATTTGTTTTCAACTGTAAAACATGCCTAGTGTTATTACTATAGTTAATTGGCCTGATCAACTTCAAACTTCTTTTTCTTTTTCTTTTTTGAAATTGCATGACAAGAACAGAAAAATTTTACTTCAATTTCTTTAACATTCGTCATCATTTTATTCTTTTGTTTACTTTCAATACGGGAAGGTTGTACCATTTCTTTTTCTTTATTTGTAGTATAATTAAACATCAACTTATTTTATTCGAACATTAAAAAATGAAACAAAAGTGTATTAAATGTAAAAAGTTTGGTCAAATATTTACATGTTATGGATGTCAACAATCATTTTGTGATGAACATATTAATGAACATCGTGAGGAATTATCACATAAAATGAATGATATTAATAAAGATTATTATCATTTCGAAGAAAGTTTAAATAACAATGAAATTATTCAAACTTATCTTTCTCGTATTGATCTATGGGAACGTGAATCCATTAAAAAAATTCAAGAAACAAGTGAATTAGCTCGTAATGATTTATTAAAAGTTTTTGATCGAATGAAAAATCAATTAAAATCAACTTGTGATAAAATAAATTATGATATAAAATCAAATCAAGAATCAAAAAATTATTCAGAAATTAATTTAAATCAATGGATGAAACAATTAGAACAACTTCGTCATATATATAAAACTTCATTTACAGATGATATTATTGATGATCAACAATCATCTATACGATTAATAAAAATTATTGATAAAAAACAATCATTTTCTATTGAAGATGTTAATGTTTATACTAGTGAAAAGTTTAATAAGACTGTTGGTAAACTTACATTATCACACGATCATCTTACAGCAACATGTTCAGAAAGAAATTGGAATGGTTCGAATGTTAGTGGTAATAATCTCTACTCGTCTGGTGTTCATTCTATTCGTTTTCGAATTACGAAAAAAGGAAAAAATAATCCGTTTTTTGGTATTACATCAGTTGCAAAAGAATTAAATCCATGGAATCATAAAACTCCATTTGCTTATGGTTGGTGGGAATTTCCATTGGATAAAAATGCAAAAGAAAATATCAAAGATCCAAATATTCAAACAGATGATGAAGTAACATTAACATTAGATTGTATTAATAGTCAAATTCAATTTGAACATCATCGAACAAATCGAGTTGTTGATGAATCTATAGCACATGAACAATGTCCTTTTCCTTGGAAAATTGCTATTGTTTTATATTCTCCAGGTGATGCCGTTAGTATTTTACAATAAAAAATAAAATGTTAATCAAAATAAAGCATTGTAGAAGAAACTGTACGTTATTTTATTGCTTCATCTATATTTAAAAAATGCAAACAAGAATAAGAGTTTTTTTTTTCGTATAGAGTTTCATCATTAAAGTTTATTTATGCAGTTGAATCGATCAAATGTTCAATAGTGTCAAGTACTTGTTCTTTAATTTTTTTTGCTATATCATTGCATAAATTAAAAATTATTGTTAAATGATTCGTTGGTATAGTTATATCATTAGAATTTAAATTCATCGATTTCAGTATTAAATCATTGCTAACACTGTTTTCAGTCATCGATAAGCAGTCGTTAATAACCATGTTGAAGTAAAGAAAAAAAGAAGAAACCCAGATGACGACTATAAATAATAAAAATGAGTTTCTTTTTTTTCTATACGACTAAATATATTGATCATTAGGGTGTTGTTTTTTTCATGTACATGAATGAATTTTCCGACAATTAATTGACTGATAAAACATGTGGTTACCAAAAGAAAATATACATGAATAGGAAAGAGAAAAGATTACTTTTTTTTAGCATTGATAAATTTTCTGATCAAATAAATAGCTGTTGAAGAGAGCTCAGATGAATGTAATTTATTACTAAAACATGTTTGTAATAAATCAATAAAAAAGGATATAAGTAAATAATTAGAATTCATCAAAGAATCATTGACGTTTATTTCAATTTCATATTATTTAGTAATATTCTACTGATTGAAAAATATTGAAATCAGATGAAATAATTGAAATGCTGTTAGTTAGTTCTTTTTTTCTCGGTAATATTAAGCATGGTTACAATTTCAAATAATTAGAGAACATATTTAAATCTCAACAGTTGTTAATAGATAATGTATCACTCAAAAAATACAGCTGTAGTAAAATTTATTGTATCATTGTTACTTTCATCTTCATATATATATATATTATATGACGAATAATAATCCGTGTTTTACACAGCGTAGTATACCTTCGAAAATGAACCTAGTAATTACTGTATCACATAACGAGTGATCGGAAAGTGTTTCGACAAGATGTTTGTTCACTTTTGATCTATTAGAAGGTATTTCTGATCGATTAGAACCAGAATTTTGTGCTCTTTGCGAATATGAGCTTAGACATTTTTTTCGAGACTAGTGAAATAATCATTGAGCAGCTGAAAAAAACTAGTTTGGATGGGGAATTTTTGTATTCTTACTATTATAATCCGAAACTAAAACTTGGAATTTTTTCGTTTTTCCGAAATACTTATTTTTGATAAAAAAAAAGAATGTTTTACTTTGAGTTGATCTCTTGAAAAAAGTTTGTAGTTTCACTTAGGTAAAAAGCTAAAGCTTAGATCAATATTACATTTTGTGGGAAAGTGTTCGTTTTACAAAATCATCGACTTCGACAATTGTTAGCATGTTTAAAAAGAAACTTACATGATGACCTAAAACCTGTCAGTTCACAATTAATAATTATCTCTCAGGTCTTTTAAAAAGTCTCGCACTACTCTTGAACAAAAATGGACACAACATTTCTAAGCTCAAATTAAAAAAAACAGCCAAAAATTCCGGTCGCCATCCATACTGAAATATTTCCAAACAGGCCAAAATGAACAAATATGCTTACTGGAAACTCGAATCCGAAAATTTTGAGCACGATGAGCTCTAGCCAACAGATCCAGTTCAAACTAATGTTTTGATCTTGTAGAAAATTATGTCACTACTTTCGAACAAAACCTGAAATAAAATCTCTAAGTTCATAGTCGAAAAGAGCATCCTAACTCATAGCTTTTGACTTGTCGAAAACACTTTCTCGCGAGTCAATAGTGAACAAACATCTTGTGTAAAATGTTTTCCATCACTCGTTACTATGCGTCTGTGCTCTCAAAAGTAATTGTTCATCCTCTCGGAGTTTTTAATCGTTTCTCCGGAAAAGAAAATCTGGATAAAGCGTACATAATATGATCAACTTAATCAGTTTTTTTGTGTATACTAAAAATTCATTAGACAAGTTTGTCATAGATGATTATCGATACGATTACTTTGACTATGAACTAAACTCATCAGACTTATCAACTTTTTAGTTATTCTTTTCTCGAATAATAATAAAACTGCTGAGCTTAAGTTTCAGATCGATAAAAAAAAATGAATTCATAGAAATAGATTTAATTGATTATTTTTATCGAACTTTTTTCAAAAATATTATTTATTCATATGCCTTTAATTTTATAATTAAATAAAGTCACACTTATAGAAAAAAAAATTTAAGTACAAATAGCGTTAGTACATGTTCCACTAGTACATTCAAAACCATAAGTACATGAAACACCGGTTGCTTTTTCTAAAATACAATTAACAGTAACTATATCAAGATAATATGTATTTGGACATTGACATGTCGTTGTTGGACAATAAAGTGGACTTGTACATAGACTGCTAACACCTGCACATTGTTGACCAGCACCTAATGTTTCAACACAAGTACTACCACTCCAATACGTACCTGTTGTACAAGTACATAAAGATGATGTACAGACAAGTCCAGCAAGATCATTACAAGTCAAACTTGTTGTACATGCTGTTGATACAGTTGATTTCGTTGTACATGTAGATCCTGTAGCATTATAAAAAGCATTTGAACTACATTGACAATATCCACTTGTAGTTGATGAACAAACAAGACTTTGTGTTGATGAACATTCACTTGTAACAAATACATTTGTAACACATGTTTGTCCATATGTTGAATAAGTTATACAGCTATTTAAAGTTGCATTATAATATGTTGTAGCTGTACATTGACAAATATTCGTTGCACTACATTGTCCATTAGTGGGACATTGACTTGCGGTTGTACAAGAGTCATATAAGTGTTTAATAGGTAAACATGCTGTAGTATTCCAATAGTAATTTGTTGGACAAACACAAACTGATGTTGTTACATTACATGAAAGACCTACAGTTGTATCACAATAAGGTCCAGATACAGTATTACAAGCAGCATTATATGAAGCACGTGCTGTACATGTAGTTCCTGTATAATATTTTGTTGCTATACATTGACAAATATTTGATATACAATAAAGTCCAGTTGCACATTGTTCATGTTCTGTACAAGCTGTACCATATGATTTTAATGCTACACATTGTCCTGTCGTTGTATCATAATAATAAGATCCACTAACACATTGACATATAAGTGAACCAGAAACAACAACACAATTTGCATTTGTTATACAAGATGCTTGAGCAACAATACATGTATTTCCAGGAAAAAGTCGTGCTTCACAACGAGCTGAACTTGTTGAATAATAATATGTAGATGAACATGTACAATTTCCATATGCAGAACATACTAATAATCTAACATCATCACAATAAGGACCAAATGATGAGCATGGTGTATTATATAAAACTTTATCAAGACATGTTTGATTTAATGAAGAATAATATCGACTATCAGTTCCACATAAACAATAAGATGCACCATTTACACTTGTGCATATTAAATTGTTTATACAATCAGCTGTTACTGAACATGATTGATTATAAGATATTGGTGTTATACATGCTCCAGAGACAATTGAATATCTTGTACCACTTATACATTGACATCGAAGAGTACCAGCGACAGTTGTACAATTAGCATTTGTCATGCATTGATAAGAAGCTGTACATACATCACCAATAGGTTTTGCACGATCACATGTATCAGTATTTACTTCATAATACCAATTAGTTGGACATCGACAAACGCCACCAATACATACAGCTGTCGCTATACAATTATTATCTGCATAACCTACATGTTATAAAATAAAAATACTAATAATAAATCTTATAGATCATGAATTTAAGTTTTACATACACGTATCTTCATTAGGTTCACCTAATTTTTCACATTGTGATGTTAATGTACTATAATATCGAGTTGAATTACATGTACATACACTTGATATACATTCAAATGTAAATGCACATTCGACATCATATGTACAAGATTGTCCATATGTTTTTTCAACTGCACATTGTCCTGTTGTTGGATCAGGATAATAATTCGTTATACATCGACATATTCCATTTGTACATAAAGCATTTGTAAAACACTGATTATCAGCTGTACATGCATGACCAAGACCTACTTCTGTAATACATAAACCAAGTGTACTATCATAAAAATATCCTGAATTACATAAACAATAACCATTGGTGCAAACAGCATTGTTCATACAAATTGATTGTGATGAACAACTTTCATAAATTGATTTTTTTCGTGATCCTAAGCCTATACCAACACCAAGAACAGTTGCAAGTAATGCAAGAAGAAGTAATAACCAAAGCCAAAAACACCAACGAGGAAAACGAACATATGGACAACGAAAACGAGATCTTGTTGTTGTTGTACGAGTAACTCGTTGAGTTATTGGTTGTGTTTCATCAATAACATCATCATCAATTGTACGAATTGATCGACGATATAAAGCTGTATTAGCTTCATCACTTGTTGGAACTTCTTCTGCTAGAAAGCCTCGCATTGTATTTGTGAAAATGTTGATCAATGTAAGAAAAAAACAAAATCTATTATGATTGCTCTCAGCAGGAATAAGTAAAATATAATATGATTTTACATGAATTTGTCCTCTTCAAATAAAATTAACTAAGCTTTTGAAAACATTTTTTTTTTATACTTGAAAGAATATATATTTTATTTCAAAAATGATTTCATCAATATTTCATGTAGAGAATTTCAAACGTCATACACTATGTTTACTATATTATCTTATTCAATACTTTTTTTTTTTTTGGTTCAAATCATTTAAAGAAAAACAAATCAATGAAAAAAGGTTTTCTTATCAAAAGAAAAAAAAAATTATTTCCAAAGTGTTAAATATGAGTCCAGTGGAGTTGATGCAGGTTGTGAATGTTTTCGAACAATTGGTAATGAACGTGAATTGAAAACTAAAAAAAATTAATCAAAGCAATACTGTAAACGATAGTCAATCAATAACTAGACGATAAAAACATGTTATATATCCTATCTACTTTAATCTATTGCATTGATTTTCTTTCTCAATGATAGAAGACTAGTCCAAGTTTTTTGTTCATCAGAAAACCGCAAAATAGATACTATGTAGTACTAGCACTATCGGTCTCAGTAAAGAAATACATTATTGGTCAAAAGTATGTCAGTCATTCTTATGGATAAAAATGTCAATTTTTTAGTGTATATATTACATTTGAAATGCAGGTCAGTAAGATCAGACCGACTTTGTTGGCTTGAGTCGAAGAAGAGCTATGATCTACGACAATAGCTCTCATTGGGAATTCTATAACTTAAGAAAAGAAGTATTTTTTGACTTCGGTTAACTATTATTATGTTGTCCTTCAACGCGGCTATTTATGCTATAAGTTTCATCTAATCGTTCAAAAGGTATAGATAGGTATGACTCAAAAAAAAAACACACTCATACATACACACGCATACCCAAAAGAACTAATAGATAAAAAATATGAAAGTCATAGTAGCTTGAAAAGTATAAAAATAAAACGGAATAAATTTAATGCCTCTTGGATCCCTCATCATTTCAAGATATGAAGCGTTCAAAAACTATAGACACATTTCTATGGAGTGTATACAATATGTATATTTTGAAAGATTTGTATCTTGCAGAGGCTTCGTTCAAAACTTGTGAATCTTTTTCTCGAAGTTTAATGTAGTTGAATTTTCTATATATACAAAGTTTCGAAACCAAAATTCGATAACTTAGTCATATCTCAATAGGATCCAAAATCATGCTCGGATTTTTATTGTATCTCAAGGCAAAAGAAAAATATCATTGAAATCGAAGGGAGTGAGCATCTGAAGAGGTTTCCTTGCCAGTTCGAGCTAAAATAAAATCGATGAAATTTCCACTAATAGTAGATCTCATTGGTCTGTATCCTATAATAAAAGTTTCAAAGAATTTGCTGCTGTCATTGACAAGAAATAGATATTACAATTAAAAAAAAAATGAAAGTTCCGGCATACTTGACCATGCACAGGAGAAATACTTTCGACTAATAGTGTATTTCTTTATTGTGGTAAAAAGTGCTAATACAAAACAGTATACATTGGTAGTTTCTTTTTGAATAAAAATTTCGAAGAATCTTCTATCATCGAGAAAAAAAACAGGCTTAAGATATTAAGTGATTTTATCATCTAGTTATTTATGCATCATTCTGTATTTTATACTTACTGTATCCTAAACAGGCTAAACTATCACTATCATTTGTTCCATCACATAAATCTTTAAGTGTTGTTTGCATTTTTGACTTAGGTGTATCATTTCCATTAGAACTTCCATTTGAACAAACATTATTATTATTATTCATATAAATTGATTCATCAAGTGATATACGATAATCACGTACACGTCGTAAATAACCTTTTAATACACAATATTGCACTAATTTTCTTTATAGAAATAACAAATAATAAAATAAATAAATAAAAAAAGATAATATCTGTTTTTTTTTTATTTTTACTTTTCATCAATATTGTTGGCTTTCATTTTATTAACAACATCCTTAACAAGTGAACCATGATCGAATGCACATATCATACGGAAACATTCATAAAATGAAACACAATCTTTTGCACCTATGATCAATAAAAAAAATATATATATATATAATCATAATAATGAAAAGGATAAAATGATACATACCACTTCGAACAACAAAAAAAACAAGTTCTTTTTGTAATGTTAAATCAGTATAAAGTTCGTGAATTTTTGGTGTTACTATATAACGATTTTTATAAGAAAATATTGGAACAAGTTTAATAACATTATGATAACTAAAAAATAAGATTTTATTTATTAAGATATTTTTCTTTTGTTGAAAATTCTTACATTAAATTTTGCATTGCTGCTTTAACTAAATCAAGTTCTGTATCTGTATCTTGTGAAATTTTATTCACATGTCGTAAACCATCAATACTGGCAATAACCTTTTAATTAATAAAAAGAAATATTTTTTGTTTTCATCTTTTTAAAGCACAGGGGACCCTTTTGGTTTTCATGAGTCAATCTCAGTGAGTCATATTAAGAACGAACGTTCATGAGTTTTTGATCAATCATCGCTGTGAATAGGATCTATCTTCACGACATACTAAATGGCCCGCAAGTGATTGATATTAGTTAATAATACGAGCATTCGTTTTCTCAAAAAACAAACAAAAATGAAGAGTAGTGTAAAGTTCTTGTAATAGCACTTTGTTAAGGCTACATTTTTCATAATAGAATCATTCATTTAAAATAATGTATTAAAAGCGGTTATAAGGTTTTGACGTACAAATCGAATCTATGTAGGTTAGTCGATAAGGACTTCTTCTATGTAATAGCGTATGTATTCTTAAGTTTTATTGCTTTCCGCATTTCTCTGTATACGATCGTTTATGACCGCACTTGTTTCATCTGGGTATACATAAACCATTCAATAAAGTAAGTCTTTCTCTACTAGTCTACATAGATCTCATACTGGGATTAAGAATCACCGTGACACTTATATGCTCATTTACTAGACCGTAGACAAAATTTCCACTGGTTACATTTTTCGGTCTTAAATATCCATATGCATTCCATTTGTCGTTTAATTACTGTGCTAATGAAGCTTTTTTCACATTTAGTTTACTTCGTAGTCGATAGAACTTTTCAAGCACTAAAAAACGAACTATTTAGTACTATCTAAAACAATGCACTACATAATAAAATGCATAGTCTATTATTCTTGACGATCCATTTTTTTTTAGCATTTTCCACTGATATTTGATGATTTCCAACCAGAATAATATACATTTCATTTCAAATAAATATTATATTTGGAATTAACACACAAATGTAAATCGACTTATGTATTTTGCAAAGATTTTTTGCAACTTTTATTTTTGATCGATTTTTCACATCTGGACTCCACCGGAATAAGTAAAAAAAAATGAAATTGATCAATATAACTATATTATTGTTTAGTCACCTGTTTCTTTATCTTGAAATAGCATTCAAGTTTAGAACATCGGTTGCAGTGCCACAATGACTTTTTGATTACATTCAGTTTTCTTCACATTCCTCAGGGGTTCTATGAGTGAACATTTGATCAGAAGAAAAGATACAGAAAAAATTTAAAACATACTTAAGTCAATTCACTTTTTTGTACTGTTTCCAAATATGATATTTAATTGAAATGAAATGGGTATCATTTTGCTTAAAAACTGTCAAATATTAGTCGAAAATGCTAAAAAAATCGAACGTCACGAATATTGGATTACGGACTTTGTCATATGGCTCACTTTTTGAGATTTTTCAAAGTAGTTTGTTTTGAGGTGTTTGAATAGTTCTATCGAGTACGAAGTGAACTAAGTGTACAGGAACTTTCATTAACACAGTAATTAAACAACAAACAGAATACACATGAGTAATTCGAACTGTAAAATGTAAGTAATGGAAGATGTGTATACAGTTGAGTGACTTTAACACATTATTTTAAACGAATGGTTTTGTTATGAAAATGTGACCTGAAAAAAAGGCTAGCAGAATAACGTCAAACTACTCTTCACCTCTAGTTGTTGTCTATCAAACGAATGCTCTCTCACTGCTCACTAGTAATCAGTGGCTAACTACTCAGTTAGTATTTCGTGAAGATATACCTTGTTTGCAGCTATGATGGATCAAAAACTCATGATCTTTCATTCTATATATGACTTAATCAGATTAAACCTTAAAAATCCAAAGAGATCAAAATGCATTCTTATCCATTTCTCGTTCTTTGCATGACTCACTCGTTGTGTCATTTGATCCATTTGTTCAATATCATTTAAATCAATATTACTACAAAACATTGGTACATCTGATGAAGCAACTGGTGGTGGTTCAGCTCGTTGTTCAAGTAATTTAAGATTAACAAAAACTGATGAATCTATGAAAAAAAATCAAACGAAAAATGTCAGTGATCTATCATGTACGAATATTATTGCAATGAAGAACATGGGGCACATAAATATCAATGAATTAGATAGAAGACAAACGCCTTGGTCCACTAATATACTTTTTTAAAATCACAATAGGATGATATCACTTGTTTTTCTTTTTTCTATTCTGTTATGAAAAATATTGAAAAGAAAAATTAATCATTCGTAGCTACATAGTCTCTGATTAATTTGAAAAAAAAATCTATCTTACACATTTTCACAGAACATTGTTGTCCATTTCTATTTATTTGTTTAACAATTTCATCCAATGCTGGTTTTAAATGTTCTTGTTTAAGTGTTTCAGTTGTTAAAAAACATGAATCTATCTGAAAAACAAAAATTTCGTTTTCAAAAGAAAATAATACGAAAGAGTTTTTAAGTAACCTCTAATGTACGTAAATATTTAGCCAATTTTCGAACAGCAACTTCATATTTAAGTGCGTCAGCTTGTGATGGTATTATAAAACAAGCATTAAAACGAAATTCATTACGATTATTTTTATATTTTTCTTGATCAGATATAATCACTGGACATCCAATTAATTTTTGATTATCAATTGTTCTATATACAAATATCAATAAAAAAAAAGAAAAAGAAACAACATAAAATTGAAATTAACGTACAAAACAATAAGTTTATCTTTTAGATTCGGTTCTGGACAAACAAAATTTCGTACACAATGAAATTGTCGATGTTCACTAAAACTTGTGTGAGCTGTCTGAAAAAATTAGATAATTACCTAAAAGCTAAAAAAATAAATTTATGCTTTTCTTTACTTACTTCATAATAAATATAAGCTCCTTTGTAAATATCAAATTCAGAATATTGAATAGCATAGAGTGCTGGCAAATCATGATTTGTCATCATGATCTCTTTGAAATCTACAAAAAAAGACAAAAAAAAATAATTAGTCACGTATGTACCTCATCTAGAGATTGCATGACTGATTTTCTTAAAATAATCATATATTATGTTTTCGAAGGAAATTCAAGAATTTTCATTTTCATGACATCCATCTCCATCACATTTTTTTTCAATTACTCTTTCAAGTCATCAATTAAGCGTTTTCAAAAGACCTGATATATATTTATGAGAAATTCATAAAACTCTTTAGAGAAGTTGACAACCATGATTTGCTAAGAGCTATTCATGTAAATAGAAAAAAAAATTCATTTTACTAAATGAATTAGTTTTTTGACTAATAACAAAAGTCTATATAAATATTTACGAAAAACTACAGATTGAATTTCTCTGATATAAATAATTAAACTTTTCTCGTTTCGTTATTTAAATATCTAGGTCTTAATATATATTTTTTTTGCAAGAGAATTAGAAGTTAAATGGGAAACATATATTTGATAGATTCTTTTTTCTCGTGAAATCTTTAGTCGTCATTCTCTCAGAAGATATTAGCCGATAGTATTTCTTTAATAGGCTTATACCATTAATCTAATGAATACTTGAAGATTATTATGAGTCTAAAAGACATATTGCCAATGCATAATAACAAAAATCAACTGCTCAGATTCGCATGATATAAATGCATAGTTTATAAAGAAGAATAAGATTGACTAGAGTCTTTGTCTATCAGAGACATTCATTAATGAACGTATTTTCTTTTCTGTTTTATTACGTTTTTTTCATGTGAGATATGACTGGTAGTGATAAGAGTAAGGTTGTCAAAAGCAAATTGACATGACTGTTGTGATCGAAAGTCTTTTTTCCTTTTTTACTAATATTTTTACATAAATAGAAAAAGATATTTTTTTCCCATTAAAATATCACCTAAGTTCATGGCATCTTTATTTGTCTACTAGACGTTTTTTTTTTCATAGTTTTTTTTTTTTGTTTTGGCAGAAGGGAAACCGGATAACATGGGTAGAAGATAATAATTCCTTCCTCTTATTTGTTTACTCTGTTCAAGGCATACATCAATTATTTATACATGCTGTCTTTCTTTTATCTTTATTGTTTTCTACGAAAAAATAATAAAGAAAAGAGTTCACGGCTATACATTATCGTGTAGTCATGTTAGTTTAAAAAAATTTATGTCATATATCTAATGTAATTATGTAGTAGTTGTAATAATATCTATGAGTTATCAATGAAAAAATTTTCTTTTCTTTGTATTTTTTTATTGACTATTATAGATATATAATTATGTGGAATGTCACACCAATTCAATGTGATCATTGTTTAATATGTTCATCTAATACACGAGAACCTTATCGTACAATAACATTAATATTATTACGTATTTATCCGATATTATTTATATTTATTGGTACTGTTGGTAATTTATTATCTGTATATGTTGTACTTCGTTCTAAACTTCGACGTCACTCAACATTTATTTATTTAGCTTTTTTATCTATTGTTGATCTTATTGTTTTATATACATTTTGTCTTAATTTTATATTTCATGCTTGGTTTAATATTGATTTACAACAAGTATCATTAATAGCATGTAAAATATTTTCGTTTTCAATTTATTTTTTTCCACAAACAAGTGCATGGATATTAACAGCTGTATCAATTGATCGTGTATTTGCTTTAACACGTGGTATACGAAAAACACGTAAAATACGTTTAACATATTTTATGTTAGGAATAATATTTCTTATACTTTTTCTTCTTAATGTACAATTTTTATTTTATGATAATAGTTATAAATTTCCACAAGAAATAAATAATAGTTCAACAACAAATATTATATATCGAATTGTTGATACTGATATGGATATTAATGTTGTTCATTGTTCATCAGAAAATAGTGATGAATATAAAAACTTTTATGAAAATATTTGGGTTTATGTTGATGCTATAGTTAATGTTTATTTACCGTTTACCCTAATGTTTCTATGTTCAACACTTATATTTATTAATGTTCTACGAACAATGAATAATGCAAATAACTCAAATAAACGTTTAGTAGCAAGAAGTTTAAGCACAATGCTTCTATCAATTAATACAATGTTTGTTTTATTAACTGGTCCTATTGTTTTATATTTAATGTTTGAAAAACGAACATTCTCTTCTGAAACTTATCAATGTAATATTAAGGTTAAAGCCAAAAATAAAATGATTAAATTACTTTTTATTATTTTAATGAATGCTAATCATACAGGTAATATACTCGTTTATTGTTTAACTGGTACAGAATTTCGTACACAATTATTCTATGTTATTGGTAAACATAAGCAGTTACAACTAAAAAATTCTTCGAAACAAGCAACACTAACGTTAAATAAAGATAGTGTATCTCAAACATCAAGTCGAAAACTATATTATTGTACTTTAACACCGAGAACAAAACTTATTAAAGTAAAAAAAAAAGAAAACAAACAAATAATAATTCTAACTTAAGTATTCAAATTTTACTTTATTTATAGATGGATGAAAATATTGATGATGATCAATTCGTACAGAGATGTTTAACAAGAGATGATAGAAATAATATTATTTTAAAAACCAAACAACAAATACAATCAAAAACTGCTGCACATGTTTAATTAACATGTATAAATATACGTATATTGGTTTAAACAGGAATATATTCATAGTATTATCTTTCTTTTATGTTTAAAATATGAGCAAGAAAATGACGATCTCATGCTGAGTAATGAACATGTGTTCAGCCTCGCATATGAGATCCCTTATTAGTCCGCTGTTTTCTTTTTCATGCATTGCTTTTCTATTACTATTATTCTTGTTCATTTAGTGTAATACCTGCATGTGTCTAGAAATTATTTTTTATGAAAACAATTGAATGCATGTATTGAATACAATAATAAATCATTAACGATATTTTCAATCTCAAAATGAATCTATAAATCTAGAGTAAAAATTCAGCCGAAAAACTTTTTATCAAAAAAATTATCTCGATATTAATAGAAAAACCATGATAGTATTCTTTTGGTTTCTAGATCAGTTTAATGTTAATTTATATATTTCAATGAATTCAGAATATTTCAACCATAATGAAAAAGATAAATTAACTGATGGCCTCAGTATGTTTTGTAAACCATAAAAAATTGTTCCTTTGAGCTAAAAATTATCAAACAAAAACGTGAATCATATCTAACTCTATTACTGATGTGACATAGTTTATTATTCCAAGGTGATTCATTCTTTTATTTTCTATGATTTATCAACGAAAAAAACAAGGTTTCTGTATAAAAATATCATTTATCTTGAAACCATTTTATTATAACTGAACACATACTATAAACTTTGCAGTCGTCGGAGAACATAATTTATTTCGATTTGAAATTGATGTATCTATTTTAAACGACTAATATTTTGTTTTGTCTCCGATTGAATATTAATGATTCGCTTGGGTTTCTATTCTTAAAGCTTATACATCTCATTCTAGCTATTGAAATATTCTCATAATAGTATATCATTGATAGTAATTAACGGTATCACTACCTATTTTCGGACGTGAAAATCTAAATTTCTTTAATTCTTTGTTTTTCATTGATATATATACTTTGAAGTGTTCTCTCTGAATCTGCAAAACTAATAAGCTTTTTTTGACGGTATTTTTGACCGCGAAAGGAAGGATTTTCTAGATCTACTCTTTCTAAAAAAAAACTAGACTTTTTACCCTGTTCGTTACAGTATTTCCTCTTTGCATTAATTTGCTTGTAGCTATCGTATTTTTAGCACACGATTATATTAGAGTCTCCTGTTGCGATGCATGAAACATTGCTCGACTTCAGTGTGAGATAGTTGATCGAGTTTATTCGCAGTGCGATCAAAATGAGGAAATAGAAAATTTTTGACATTAGACTTATTTTTAGTAGTATGGGTTAGTTTTTTTATACTCAAAGTTATTCATAATTGCTAGTTGAAGATCGTTAAAATGATTTACTCTTAGTTTTTAAATTTGCCGTTGACTATTTCATTTCTTCCATTAGTAATAAAGGAATGGTAGAATCGACAAGAAGTATATTATTTATGCGTGTTTGATTTGTGGATATCTTGTAGGTATAAAATAAAAGCACTCTCTGAACGTTGAAAACTATCTCATCAAATGCGCAATAGTCGAAACCCTAGAAAAAACTTAAATAGAAAGGGAAAAAGATAAATATTTATAAGAATATCAGTATTTTATTTTGGTTTGCGTTTTCTGAAAGTCATATATTATACATAAAATGTTGTTTCGCTCCGTTTCTTTGACATGCTGAGTGGCATCGACCTGAAACCGTTTTCTCATATACTAATCACTATGTTGCGCAGTTTATTTTTTTTTTTCTATTTAAAAATTATTGCCCTAGTGATTTCTGACAACTGCAGCAAAATCTGTCCTTGTAAATAATAAATAAGCGTTTTCTTTTAGTACTACGCCCTGTATTTTGGTTTTTACTAATTGACAAGACAAACAATATTAAGAAACCAAAACAAAAAAAATATTCATTCGGAATAGTGTCCATTACGTGTAAAGAAATTTTAAACTCGATTAAACGTAATATCTTGAGGAAACGGAGACGAAAAGACAGGTCACTTTGACCTATTCTGCGCCCAATATGTTATATAGGTCAGCATACGAAAACTTTGAGTCTAGCACAACTTTTGATTTACTTTTCAAGATCTATCTGCCGTGAAAGTTTCATATTTTTTCTGATAAGTAGTTCTCCAGAAATCTCGGAAAGGAGGAAGATACTCCCTTAAAACAAAGAATAAAGATATTACAATTAACATTTAATAGTTGAACGTAAAACTAATTTTACTTTCGAACCGACACGTTGAAACTGCGAAAAATAAGACAATTGATGGGAGAACATTTTATAACTGATCAATTGCTTTCACATAGAAAGATAATGAAGTGTAGATTATAGACCATGCTGATTTTGAATATAACAATGAGAAATCTTCTTCAGCCTTCATATGCAGGTTTTCCAGACTATCAAATATTTCGTCAAAACCTGTTTTTGGATCTGTTTGGATTACAGAATTAAAAATCGTGTTTGTTCTGCAGAAAATATGACCATTTTAATTATTACAACAGATTCAATGTGAAAATGTTCAAAATGATATTGTTTTACTTGAAATTCATTTTCAAAAAACAGGAACGATTATTGTCCTAAAAACAACTCAACGTGCTTTATAATCGAAGTAGATCCAAAACAATTTTGAAAAAATCCTTGCTAGTCTAGAAAACCAGCATATAAACACCTACGGAGATTTCTCATAATCATATTCAAAATCAGCGTGGTTGATGGCCTACAATTCAGTAGTTTTTGATGAGAAAGCTATTGGTCAATTAAAAATATCCCTCAAGAGACTGAGGTCGCAATACGAATGTGTTCAGTCTAAAAAAATACGAGACCAACTTTGGTCCCGATGACTAGGGCCCCAAAAAAGAGAAATTGCCAAGATCGAAATCAGGACTACAAGAAGTATTAGAAAAAAAGCTACTAAAACCATCAGAAGAGAAGTTTATAACATCCAGACAAAAAAAAACTTCATTCCGCGCATTTCTAGTTCAATACCAAATCTTTATTAATTATTGGAAGAGAACGCAACGAACTTTATGTTTATTCGCATAGAAAAGATGAAACTGTATATATGGTTCTAAAAGATTTCTGAACTTCATTGATAAATGTATCAAATATAATATTTCTACATGAAATTAGAAAATTTTTATCACTTCGAAAAAATTTAAACGAAATACAATTAACGATTACAAAAGAATTTCAACCATTAATAACAAGGAAATATTTCTATAATAAAAAAACAAGACATTTGTATAGATCAAATTTTATTTAAACGAACGTAGGATTCACGAGACAATATGCATAGAAAGAAACATAAAAAGAAATGACTGAAGACACATATACATATATCATTCAATAGATTACTAGAATACAATAAGAAAAAGAAAAGAAGACAATTCGATCACGAAAGACCTGAACATAAACAGTCAAAAAAAAAATATAAATACAACAAATGGTGGTAGATATACCTGAGGAACGTCAAACACACAAACCGGTCTGTGTTCTTATTTAAAACTTTATTTTGATAGTCAAGAATAAAAATGAAGAATCAGTGCTTCGTTTATCTTTTTTTTTTTTTTTACAAATATTCACACTTTTGAGATACAATAACTGTATGAGAAACCGGATTTAATAAACATCAAGAATAAGCAAAAAAAAAACATGTATATCTATACATGAGACAATACTTGTAACTATTGCACATTGATAGAAAGAACAACAAAAAAAAAATTTCTTTTTTCAATTATCAATATCTATTGTTGGTAATGATTTTTTTTCTTCATTTAATATTTCTTTGAATACACCTTTGAGACGTTCAAGTCCAAATAAATAACCTTTATCTGGACCAATATGACTATTTGATGCTGACGTTTCATCAGCTGTAGAAGCATATATTGAATGGGCAAAATCAATCATGCGTACATCAATAAGATTTGATTGTGGCAAACCATCATAAACAATTAACAGACTTCCACTATAAAAACGATATTTTGATAAGGAATTTATTGTTTCATATAATGATTCAAGTCTTTCAATTATTTCAGGTAAAACATCAAGACGTTTTGTTCGACCATTATCAAAAAATTCTACTAATGCTGAACGAAAACCATCAATAGTTAATACTCGCCCTCGATATTTATCTGTAAAAATATATCGACCACTATCAACTTGATAAACCTATGGAGAATAAATGTTGACAGGTTGGCTTGTTTTTATTAAAAAAATAAATAAAAATATTTACTTGCATGCCACATAAACGTACACCTAATGTTGATGAGGTTGATGATTCACATTTTTGAATTTTTGATTGACGCTTTTTATCAGAATCAATATCAGCATATTGCCTTCTACCCATTTTTAAATCAAGTATACATGGATAATGAAATCGGGCTGCAACATTTTCCAGTAGAATATATTCTAAAGAAAAAACAAATTTATACTAAAAAATATTTTCATTTAAAATAAGATTTAATGGATGAATGAAAATATACTAAATTAGATGGTTGGATTTAGATCGAATATCACAAAATTCTGTCCAAATGTTCTATTCAATTTTAAGAAATCTAATCTGCGTTATTTATCATTGATTGAATAAAATAAAAGATATAATCATCAAAACTTGTCATGTCTTTTTACTTCATACTATAACATAAACGTGTACCGAGTTCGATTTAGTCGTGTATCAAAACAAAGATTTAATGAAGGAAGCTCGCTAAATGATTCATTGCATTTTACATGAAACTTATCTCATTTGGTAGACCATATCGAGACTAGCCAAAATCAAAAAGAGCTCATGCCTATAGTTATCACCTTTTCTACTTCTAACTCCCCCAAATTGTCATGTAATATATGAGTATTTTATTGCATTCACGTTTTTACGTAGTCACCGTTAGGGGCCACCAAGTAGAAAAAGAAACAACTATGCACACATCAGTGAGTTGCTCATTAATTATAGCGATTTTATAGTCTTTCAATAAAATGTCGTACTTTCTCTTAGATCATCTTCAAAA